GAGGGGAGGGGAGGGGAGGGGAGGGGAGGGGAGAGGAGAGGAGAGGAGAGGAGAGGAGAGGAGAGGAGAGAATGGGAAATAGCTGTAGATGCTGACATTTCTGGGAGCTCATGTACCTAAAACTGATCTAATTACATACCTGGGTCAGGAAGGAACATCAAGGAGAAGAGAAGAAAGAGAAGCCCCCACGTTTTCATGTCTATGAGAGAGCAAGAGAGGTGCCTGCCTTGGAACTCTGTATCTTTATGAGAAGATATACCAAGAAGGAAATCAGTGTCTCTGTCCCTTTATACCACCTTAGGAGGTGGGGAGTGACATGGTGAGCAAGGAAGTTTGCAACACATTTGTCGCATTGCCAAATTTACTTCTGATAAGTGTGTGTGACATTTGACCATAGGAATGGTTCCAGTAACTCTCTTGAGTGGCTTTGGCTGGAGGGGATTTTTCTCCTGCTTCCCCCGACCCAGGAAACACAGAAAAGCAGAATGAACCAGAAGGACAATTCTGCACGTCGGTCCTGCCCACAGCATGGCCTCTTGCAGGTCATGGAGGTCCCATGTGGGTCCCTGGTGCCAAAGTGAGGCCCTGGCAAGCCGGCCACTCAGAGGCTGTGTGGGAATATTTTCTGTATCCCCTACCGGCTGCCAGCTGCCCATCACTTAGACTTGCGCTCAGTTGCCTTACTGGAATTTGCCTCTCCACTGGTCACAACTGGCAGGTGTGCCTTTTCTAAGCACGTTTTCAAAAGCAGGCTATTTCCATGCCCATTTGCCAATCACATGACGGTCTTTCATGCATTTTCTAGATGAATTTTCTAGATGAAAATTTGCATTTTCTTCAAATGGCAGGGCAGGCTCAGAAATACGCGGCCTAGGGCTGCAGCTGGGCTGTCTGTCTGTCTGTCTGTGTCCAGATCTAAAACTATATTTATTTATTTGTTCATTAAAAACTTTGCTTTCCTGTCCCCTACAGAACGTCTTGGGACAGCTTACAATAAAGATGTAGAACAAAACAAATGAATCGTTCTCTCTCCTCACATGCACATTTTCAGCACTTGACTCCTAGGGTGTCCAGCAACCAGGTCCAGAAAGGAAATGGTTAAAAGAGAGCATTCTGCTGAGGATATTCAGAGATCAAGGGGGTTGGGGAGGTGGAGGAAATAAGATGTGGGAGGTGAAAATAATGGAGCAAAGCCCCCTTCCCTGGTCACTCTCTTGATGCATCTTTGAAGAGAGAAGTGCAGTTTTCCTCCACAGGTTTGGTTTCCTGCAAGGGAAGGCCAGAAGAAGCAGGAAGAAGCTTCTTCTGGGACAATGAAGGCAGGAGTTTCATCAGAGAAGGCAAAGGGTCTGCGGAAGCTGCAAGACTGAACAGGTTTGGGTTCCCCATTTCTTCCTGAGCAATTCTACAGTTGGAGAACAGGAATTCCTGGCCTTTGGATGGAGAAATAGCTTGGATGCTGGCTGACCAGGTCAGAACTATGCTTTACGGGTTCTCCTGCTCCAAACACATGTGCACGCACACACCAGAAGATTTACACAATATTTCAGTGGGTAATTGCATTTCGTGACCATCTTACATAACTGAGTCCCATCCTTCCTGTCAGTGGAGCAGCTTTACAGGAAGTGCTCTGTTGTCGTCGTTCCGTGCGAGAACATAAGAAAAGCGTGCTGAATCAGATCCGAGGTCCATCCAATCCAGCATTCTGTTCACACCATCGCAAACCAGCTGTCCACAGGATCCCTCGTGCAGGCGGGACACAAGTCCTTCATCTGCCCAGCCTTCTCGGCCACTACGGCATAGTTGTCTCAGACCCATCATGATCCGATGAATGAAGACACCCCGAAACAACAGCCCTGATCAGCTTGCATAAATTCTGGGGAGCAGAGCTGAGGCCTACTTGCTCTGGACCCTTCTTGAACCCAACTGAACCCAACTTGCAAAACCATTTGCAAGTTGTCCGCTTCATCTTATGCAGTTCCAGTGGAAATGCGCACCCAGCTTGACTTGCGTCACACACGGTATTGCTGTGGGAATCAGATTGAGGCATGGGTCACACATATGGTGTGTGTGATATCATATCATAGAAACATAGAACCAGAGTGAGTCAGAAGGGTCCTCCCTGGCCATCTAGTCTGACCCCTGACTCCAGCTGGCTCCACTCATGACATGCCTACCACGTGCATGTCCAGCCTATCTTTGAACACCAGCACCGATGGGGCCTCAACCACCTCCTGGGGAAGCCCATCCCATACCCTCGGGGTCCTGACTTTCAGGAAGTGCTTCCTGGCATCTAAATGGAAACTTGGTTCTCTGAGCTTTGCTCCCTTGGAGCACGTCCTGCCTTCCTCTGCAGGGGAGGACAGGTCTCTCCCCACCTCCATGTGACACCCCCTCACATGCCTGTATGTCGCCAACAGGGTCATTAGAAACATGACCCACCTCTGCATGGCACCCCCTCATGTACCTGAATGTTGCTAACAGGTCCCCTCTGAGTCTCCTCTTCTCCAGGCTGAAAAGACCCAGCTCCCTCAGTCTCTCCTCACATGGCTTCCCCTGCAAACCAGCCACCATCCTAGTGGCCCTTCGCTGCACCAATTCCAACCTTGCTATATCCCTCTTGTAATGAAGGGCCCAGAACTGGACAGAATACTCCAGCTGCAGGTGCACTGGAGTCGTGCTTATCAGATATCGGATCAGGTATGATCCTGCAGGCTTCGGAGCTGCCACCCACCAGGCAGACCAGGATAAAATGCTGCCTCAAAAGCAAAGGAGGAAAATGTCACAATGCCCCTTGAGGAACCCTGGCCAAATAAGCGCCCACCCCCAAAGACTGCAATTTGCACCCAGATGGATGTTTGCCTCTTCCACTCAATCCATCCATGTGCACATCAAACAGATCAGCTCTCGGGTATCTGCAGCACCCATTCAAAGTGCTATGGTTTTATTAAGTGAAGAAAAACCAGCAGCAAAAATTACGGGCCCTTGTTTTGCAGGAGAGGTTCTTGGGAGTGGGAGAGAATGGAGCTGGTGTTGGCTGGAAGCTGGCGGTGGCTGTCCTGGTCCGGAGGGGCTTCATAGCTCCATTTCTTCTTGCGTAGGCTCTGCCTAAGGATACAAAAGCATCTTAATGAGCCCCTGGACTGAAATGACCCCAAGTTCACCTTGAGGCAAATTTCTGCCTCAGTTATGACTGGAAGCTCACCAAAGCTCATGGCTAAGAAGTGACTTTTCAAAATCGTTAAGGGCAAGAATTAAGGAGAGGGTGGGGTGCAAAATTACCCATAATATGGATTAAATGGTGAGGGACACATTCCTCCCACTCCACACACACACTGGTATTATACCAGACTCTAATGAGGTCATCCCACGAAGTGAGACTCAGGAGAGAGAAAAAGAATTACTTTTTCCACAGCGTGTAGTTAATCTATGGCATTAGCTAGCACAAGTTCCTATGAGGGCTAGCAACCTGCAAGGCTTTTGGAAAGGATTCGGTGATGTTATGGAGCTTCGGGTCTTCATAGGCTCTAAAGTTTCTTACAAGCGCTGAAGAGGGGGCTGCCCTTGAAAGCTTTTGCAAAATGAAGCAGCCAGGCAGAACAATTCGTACCAGTTCTGGCCCACTTCTGGCTGGCTTTCTGCTCCCAAGCCCAGCTCAGGGTACTGGTTTCAGCCTGTGAAGACCAGCATGGCTTGGGGCACAAGACCTGATCAGTGCCTCTCCTGATTACCATCTACTCAGAGACTAAGATCAGGATCCGGGGCCTGCCTCCTAGGAAGGCCTGACCTTCCTGCCTCCTAGGAAGGTCTGGCAACACAGAGGGCCTTTCCAGTGCTGCCTCTACCCCAGTTATGGAACAAGCTCCCCAGGGAGGCCAAGCTGGCACCAACCTTACTATCGCCCCGGTGCCTGGTTAAGACTGTCCTCCACCGCAGGGCATTTAATGAGTCTGCTGGGATTTTGGTGGTTCCTTAATCCAGTTCTGGGATGTATTTGGTTTTAGACTCTGCAGGGCAACCTCTTTCATGTTTTATAATCTGGTGTGCTTTATACTGTATTTTTAATGTGTTCCTGTGAACTGCCCAGAGAGCTTCAGCTATTAAGTGGTGTAGAAGTCAAATAAATAACTAAATAAAGAACAACATGAGGAGCGAACCAGCGCCTCGGACAGCCCCACCTCCATCCACGCCGCCCGGAGCCCGCGCCGCCCGGACCCTGCCGCTGCATTCGCTCTATCCACAACTCACCATTTACAGCAATAGGACCAACGGCTGCATTTTCCAATAATGATGGAAAAGACTTGGCACATATTTGGAAGAAATGGAAGGCAGAATCCCCCTCCTTCTCTGCATTCTTTTCTATCTGAGATGCTGCATCCTGCATGAAGAAAACACAGATGGGGGACAGTCCAACGGGGTTTCCGTGGGCCGGCAAGGAGATCTAGAGAGGCGTGGTTTTGCTCTCTCCTCCACAGCCTCCCTGTCAGGGTCATCCTTGGACCATGGGCACCCCCCCCCCCGATGACCAGGGCTCAAGGTGTTGCCGAGTCCCACAGTGGCCCCAATCCGGAGTGGGTGAAGCAACCCCTCTGTGCTGCAAATGGGTGCGTGGGCTTCTGCCCATGTGTGGTGGGCCTTTCTTTAGATTCTGAGTTGGCGCGAGAAGTCTGGAGGCTGTCTTTCAGAAGCAAGAGACTCGCTTTTTAGCTTTGGGTAGCAGTGGGCAGGGTGGTGGGGATCTCATTTCCGTTTCTTTTAGACTTGCCCTAGTGGTGTTTTCATTTAAACGGTTTTTGCTATTGCTTTTGCAACAGTGATGCAACTTTGTGGTGGTATCTAAAGTTACAGCAATGATAAGGCTGGAGGATGCCTGCTTGGCCTTTAGATGTTGCGGTGGCGCTTTAGCAGAGCAGGGCAGGTAGTTCCATCTCAACTGCCTTTGACAAAGGGCTTGGACCCAGGGTTGGCCTGAGTGAGTTGCAGGCGCCCAAACCCACTCTAGTTAATGCATGGAGGATGGGAGGATGGGGAAATACTTTCCTGCAATGATATTGTGTGTGTGTGTGTGTGTGTGTGTGTGATGTCCAAACCATAGTGTGCTTTCCTGGCATTGGGGAATGGAGAAAAATTAAAAATCTGAAGGAGAGCGAGAGTGAGTGAGGGAGGGAGGGAGGGAGGGATGCCCCTTCCAAAAGCAGATTCTTAAAACTCCAGCTGCCCCTGGGTGAGAAACTCTCCCTAGGGGCACCTTGGCCGGGGTGCTGGGCACTTGCGGGCTGCAGCTGTAGCAACTGGGGGCGCCACAAGAGCAGGTGAGCTGGCGGCCCTCGCGCCAGGCCCCCCGTGCACACTCGCACAAGCGCGCAATGCAGCCCCGTCCTCCACTGCTCTTCTCCCTCTTCCCTGCCGCTCCCTTCTCCAGCTCAGCGACTCCCTTCTGAAAAGAGCGCGTGGTTCAGCGCCAGGATCCCCGTCAACCAGACATACTAATGGCCACCATTCTGGATGGCTCCGTGCCACCTCCAGGGTCAGGAGTAGATGCCCATGTGCACCGGATGCTGGGGAGCATGGGCGGAAGGATATTGCTGCACTCTTGCCCAGTTGGTAGGCATTCCATGGGCGGCTGTTAGCTACTGAACGCAGGAGTACAGGAACACTTGTTCTGACCCTGTATCATGACTCTCCTTAGGCTACGTCCCTGCCCTGCCCTGCCCCCTTTTCCCTTCCCCTTCCCCTCCCCCTCCACTCTCTCTCTCACTCCCCCCCCAACCCCCTTTCCTTCCCATCCAGAGTCTTGGCAGGGAAGGTGCAGGGGGCCGAACTGATAATTAGAACTGCTCATATGAGAAGAGCATGTGGAATCAGGCTGCGGGCAGCATGACATTTGTCCCGGAGACGTGGGTCATTGTGGCATTGCTGCCAGAGGCCCAACCTCAAAATATCAGATGCGGCCACCCAGAGTTGTGGGGAGAGGTGCAACCTCAAAACCGAAGGTGGCATGAGGCAGCCCAGCCAACTCCCAGAGAGCACCCATTTGCAGCACACCATGTTGCTAACCCAGCATCCACATCACAAGCTCCGTCTCTGAAAAAGGTCTGCTATAATCTGGATTGAGTTCCTTAGGCCAGGACGGTCCTTCAGGAAGAGAAAAGGGATTGTGCAGATGGAGAGCGGAGAGGAGAGCGCTGCTGCGTAATTGGCCACACGTATTTCTAATTTCTAGGGGTTGTTCTACTCAGAGTTTGCATAACTCCCTCCCATTCCACCTCCCCGAAATCATACCTGAATCAAGAAGGAGCACGAGGAGGAGGACGAGGAAGAAAACACGAGGTATCTTCATCACTACAGCAGCAGATGCTGACCTTATTCCAGGGAACAAACGCAGAGTAGAATAACACCAGGTGGCATCTCTGTGGCTTTTATAAAATCCTGAGATTACAACATGTCCAACGATGACGAAACACGGCCTCTATTGCAGCTCAGCTGGCAGTTGATACCACGTTGTGTGCAGAAGGGCATTGAGGGAAACGGGCGTATTTCCGACTGGTGCACCACGAGGCCACAGTCCTGGCTGTGTTCTCAAATGAGTGTCCCTTGAGGACAAATCCCCTGCCGGGTGATAGGCAAACCGCTAGGTTTCAGGCCAGTCCAGGCAACCAGGCAGGGAAATGTGCATGCAATTGTCCTGGGACAGACTTACTGGATGTCATGGATGGGGAATTCCTGTGTCTAGAGAGAGTGGGGAGGCGGATGAGACGGACACGTCAGAGACTTCGCCTGCGAGCATCTGTGGGCTTGGTCTTCCCGAGTGAGTGGAGCCAAGATGAAGGCCACACAAGCTCATGGACTTGTAGCTGCCCAGCCGTCAATCTCCTCCCTCATCGTCCACATCTGCCGCAGCTGGAGGAACGGGGCATTGCTTGTGCTTCGGTCCCAGGGGGCCGGGAGATCCCTCATGGCCAGCCACTGTTTGACCTCCTGGCACTGGGGGGGGGGGGGCATTGAATGGCATGTGGGGTTCAAGTCCTGTGAGCACCCCACAAACTCTGGGCATGCTCACCAGGAACTTAGGCTCTGGGCTGCTGCCAAACTCTTGGTTCTTATACACATTCCTTCTATACCAGCTTCTATGGGAACAGGAAGGCTTCCACTGAATCTCAGATTATTTCTAATTGCTGGACTGTGCCTCACGATGTAAGGGCCTCTTTGCTAAATGGTGAGAATGAATCAACAGGAGTCCCAAGGAAGACTGAATCGCTTTGAACCCCGGTGTTTTTATTGGTGAGACCACCCAGGCCCCCTGCAGTGACTTATGACAGCTGCTCCTGGGTAGTGGTCCCCACTGCCAACTACAAGCTTTTAGAACATACACAGAGTGTTTTATGGATTCTGAGTCACATGGGCCCGGCAGCCGGGCAGTTGATGATGAAACACGGTGAACACAGTCGGAAGACGGTGAGGAGCCTGCAGAGGGGGCTCAGGACAGTGGCATTTGATGGCAGGATATTAACATCAGGATCACTGAGGCACGGGGTTCCTGTGGGTCTTGGCATGCAAATGAGGGCGATTGCAGTGCTGCGAACCTGGCAGCCTGGTCAGTTCTTCCTGATCAGCAACACAACAGCCCTGGCAGCTTCTTGGGGAATCCATCAGGTCCCAATTCTTAAACCAGCAGCAAACGCCAAACAGTAACCTGGCTTGGAAACGGGGTGCTTTCTGAGAAAGGGGTGCAGCTTTGATTTTATAACACAAAGGCACATATGAGCATCCCTTTTCTGCCAGGATTCAGCTGAATTTTCCCAACACTGTCCACGACTATTTTCTGTGGGTAAACGGTGCGTTCTTTGTCTGTATTTGCTGGTTCCAATTGATGGGGATATTCCCAGGAGCCTTACTGGACTGAATTGTTTAGGAGAGTGAAAGAAGAGTACAGAATGGAGAGTAAGAGAGAAACTATTCCGAAAAATACTGTTTCTGCTCTTTGTCTGCTTCTCTCAGTTACCTGGAATCCAGGATTTTCACTAAAGGACTTTCAAAAAGAGTCTTCTTGCATATATACCTGCTCGAACACTACGATCTTCCGCTGTGGTCCTTTTTCAGGAGCTTGCCCTGAAGGTGGTTAGAAGAGTGGCAAGCTGGGGAAGGGCCTTCTCTGTGGTGGGTCCCAGCTTTGGGCTCTGTCCTGGGACCGATCCTGTTTTATCTTTTCATCAATGACATGGAAGAAGGGGTGAACAGTCTGCTGATCAAATTCGCAAACGACACTAAAACTGGAGCAGTGGCCACAACTGAGGAGCAGGTACTCCAGATCCAGAAGGATCTGGACAGACTATGGAAGTGGGCAGGAGACAACAGGATGGCGTTCAATGTGGATAAGTGCAAGGTCTTGCACTTGGGGCATAGGAATGGGGGTCATAAGTACAGGTTAGGGGACAAGTGGCTGGAGAGCAGCACTTGTGAAAGGGACCTCGGGGTGCTGGTCGACTGCAGGCTGAACATGAGCCAGCCGTGTGATGCGGTGGTCAAGAGGGTGAACGCCACCCTTGATGGCATAGCCAGAAGTGTGGCTTCTAGATCAAGATTGGTATTACTACCACTCTACACGACTCTAGTGCACCTGCAACTGGAGTATTGTGCTCAGTTTTGGGCCCCTCATTACAGGAAGGATATAGCCAGGTTGGAGTCAGTGCAGCGCAGGGCCACAAGGTTGGTGGCTGGTTTGCAGGGGATGCCGTATGAGGCGAGACTGAGGGAACTGGGTCTCTTCAGCCTGGAGAAGAGGAGACTCAGAGGGGACATGTTGGCGACATACAGGTATGTGAGGGGGTGTCACACAAAGGTAGGTAGAGACCTGTTCTCCCCTGCAGAGGAAGGCAGGACGCACTCCAATGGAGCCAAGCTCAGGGAGCCAAGGCTCCATTTGGATGCCCAGAAGCACTTCCTGACAGTCAGGACCCCAAGGGGGTGGGATGGGCTTCCACGAGAGGTCGTTGAGGCCCCATTGGTGCGGGTGTTCAAAGGAAGGCTGGACATGCACATGGTGGTCATGTTATGAGCAGAGCCGGCTGGTGCTGGAGGTCAGACTAGATGGCCCGGGAGGTCCCTTCTGACTCGCTCTGTTTTCTATGTTTCCCCAGAGAGATGTGCCTGGCACCAAACCAAAACCATTTCATTTACCCAATATTTTAGGGAATGATTATTTTATTGTATAGTTAGAATTGTTTTAATGTAGATTTTATAAATTATGTTTGTGTTTTAATGTGCTGTTATGCTCTGGTTGTAAACCATCTTTAAGATCCACCAGAGGAAAAGATAGAAAGGTTTTAAATAAATAAATATCAGAGGGAAAACAACCAACCAATTCAGGGCTCGCAGCAAAGTTTCCAAGCACCTCAACGTACCCATCCTGTTCTCCTTCCTGTCCACTGGAATGGCACCTCGTAGAAACATAGAAACAGAGCAAGTCCAAAGGGGTCTCCTGGGCCATCTAGTCTGACCCCCGGCTCCAACTGGCTCCGCTCACGACATGCCCACCTCACACTTGCCTTGAATCAGGTGCATCAGCAGGATTCCAATCCACAGGATGGATAATGCTAACCAATTCTGCCTTGCAACAGGTGAGCCCTGGGGGAATACAGTCCTTAAAGAGAACAATGGGATGGAAAAGCTGCATGCCTGCAAGGAAGGTGACAAAGAATTGTGGCCAGAAAGATCTGTCTGATGACTACACCTGTGCAGGATGTGCCCGCAATCATCTTTTTTCCCCTCATGTATACATTGCATTATGGGGATTCTACATTCAAGTATCCAGCCGTTCTCACAGATCTACAGCTTTACCTGCTCCACAATGCACTTTATTTATTAAGTGATGAAAAAGCCATGGAAAAATTTAAGCGATTTCAATTTGCTGGAAAGGTTCTGGAAGCACAAGAGAATACAAAGCTCAGCTGGTATGAATGCAAGATGGAAGGTGTGTCCAAAGACAAGGCGCGTCTTCCTGATCCGTGTGCAGCTCCATTTCTTCAACCAGATAATCTGCAAAGGGGGAGAAGGTAACTTTGCTGATTCTCTGCATTGTGAGTATGGCTATTTCACAGTGCCGAGTCCACTTTTTGCCTCCATGAGCATGGAAAAATCACTTAAACATACCAACTAAAATGTGATCCACTGAGAAAGCTTCAGCTCTTTCTTGGATGGTATAAAACCAGAGTGAATGAATAAGAAAGTCAATGCAATCTTTCAAAGGCATGAAGAGCATGAAGGAAAGGAACTGTGGCAGAGCAGTACAACCACCCCATTCACTAACTGCTTCTTTCTTCCTTCCTTCCCTCCCTCCCTCCCTCCCTCCCTTCCTTTTTATGCCACCCAATAGTTGAGGCTTTCCAGACAGTTAACAAAAATTAGAATTGAATGAATATTTAAAAGACACGTGTGTTGATTTAAAAGACCAGAACCCTAACAGCAATTGCCTTTGCTCTGATTCAGCCTAGAAGCATGGATGCAATACAGAACAAAATGGAATATATGAAAACAAAGTTAAACAGTAAATTATTAAAATACTGGAAAAATAAAAAGGTCTTCACCTGGCACCAAAAAGAATACAAAGCAGGCACCTGGCACATCTCCTCGGGCCAATTCCGCAGCCAGGGTGCCACAACCGAAAAGGCCCTTCTGCTGGTAGACACCAGCCTCACCTCCTTTGGAAGGAGCTCCTGGAAAACTTTTGGGTAGCTACATATGGGAGGAGGCGATCCTTCAGATAACCAGGACTGAGCCAGGAGATAAGAAGTCCATGTGTCCTGGAGGCCTTCCTCCCAACCCTAGAGAACACCATTAAGAGCAAGGTGTGGAGAAAATGTATAAAGAGACTTTTTCCCCCTCTCCCACTGCTACCAGCCATAATTTTATTGGTGTCATCCAGTTAAGGGGATAAGTGGAAGCATCCCTGAATAGTATATAAATAAGCTGTGGAATTTACTACCAGAAATATGAGCAGCGATGCATCTATTTGGGAGAAGTGCACACAAAATGTGGATTTTAAAAAATGCACAGAACAATGTAGAAAAGCCTTTGTCCAAGCGAAAAAGAATCTGGTGTTAAAAGAACAAATTCACATGAGAAAATGAGAACCGGATCTTTCTCCAATGGGACACATCTGCCCACATATTAGCAAATCATCCCCAGCATCGGGCACAGAATTTGGAGACCGTACACACGGCTGTGCAGGGAAGTAGAAAGGTTCCGTGTCCATTTGGATGGATGGATGCATGGAGAAATATTCAGTATACCTGCCACACGCCTTGCAGCAAAGGGACCAATAGCCGCATCTTCCAACAGGGCACAGAGGGAAACCACAAGACGACCAAATGCAGTGA